CTGCATAGATGTTCCCCAAAACTATTCAAGTAAATTCCACCCCACCCCCACCAAACAATCATCCAGCTCTACATCTCCATCGCTCATGGATTATCTATTTCTTTTCACAGACAGAATTTCCTTCTGCTCTCAGTCACAGATACCAATGTGGTGCGCCATTTCAATTTGATCTCATTCTAGTCTCCCCCAATACTGTTTGAGCTGATATTTATCCAGGTCTTTCTTGAAGGAGTTAATGAACAGGACTTTGCACCCTTCGTCATATAAACATCTCACAAAATTGGTTCATAATGGAGAAGGCCCTTCGTCCAATTTACAGCCTCCCCATCACATCAAGCCCAGAGTCCTGGACTCTACCAGCCTTCCTGCCAATATGCTCCCCTCGTTAATTCCCCTCCGGCTAAAGAAATACTTTGCATCTGTCCTGTAATTGTCCTTTGTTGTGTTGTTGTTTGCAATCTTAAACCTATACCCTGTTACTATTCCATTTGAAATATTGTAGACCTCTATAAGATCCTCCGATACATCGCCTTTACAATTTACAAACCTCACCAACTAAGTGAAACAAAGTGACAAGTAATCATGGGATTGGATGAAGTAACAGTAACAGCTCTCCTCAGAATTTTCAAACATGAACCGACCACTTTTCAATCGGTCCCCAAGTACAGTGGTGCCCGGACTTGTATTAAAGAATCAGGTTGTGTGTTCCATGAAGCAAGCCTTGATATTTTCCTTTTTGACGATTATGGCGGATTTCTGTTAATTATTTTGATCATTCTTTGCAGGCGAGTCGCATAAAGGTGTCGCGGGAGCATTCATTCCACTCACAGAACAGAAAGAGCAAAGTGGCACTGTGGAGGGAGGTCTGTGCCATTCAGGAAGCCAAGCCTACTTAGTGCTGCTGAAAGGGTCAAAAGTCTTCCTTTAAAACCATTAGACAGCAACAGTTAGTCAAAACAGATCCGCACCAGTTTTTAATCCCATAATGTTGCGAAATGCTGCCACAAATTTTCAGGCAGAAAGCTGCTCTGAACCACTGTTAAACCCTTTGAGGACAGCAATGTTTTCAATACAATGACACCGACAATATTACTGAATTGTACAGGTAGCGTGGGGCATCTCTAAGTAAACGTTATACTATGTAAATCCATGGGTTTATGTGCGATTGATGTAGTGTATTATCGTGTGGAAATGACTTCCCTTAGCAAGTTACTTCACTGACTGTTACAGACAACTATGTCAGCCAATTTGAACCAGCAAAGTAACACCAGATACATCCCCAATGCATTTATTTTCTTGGTGAATTTGGATGAGCGATGAATATTGACCAGGACTTTGGGAGAGGTCAATGTTCTTCAGAATAATACAGTGGACAAATTAAACACCTGCCTGAATGGACTGTAAAATTTACTCCTCATTGAATGGATCTCATCTATAACCGCATTCACTCCAAACTGTAGTGTCAGACAAGGTTACAAGCTCACATCACGGTGTGGAGCTCAAACTCACAACCTTCTGACTTGGAGGCAAGAGTGTTATCAACAGAGTCAGTTAAGCCATGCATGCATGAATGTTCCTTCAGGAACAGCGGACACGCTTTTCATCTTGCCGCATTTTTGTTTCAGAGAGAATCTTTTTTTAAGGTTTCAAATGTGTGTTGCACATAATTCAGGCTGAGGGCAAAGTGGTAGAAAAGGAAATGGTTCTGCTGGTGAGGCTAACTGTATGATGCATGCGTTATCTATTCAGTCGGCCCTTAGGGGATATTTACTGCGGGTGACTCAATGACTATTTCTGTTGTGTGGCTGCAGGTGTATACCTCCAGCGTAAGCAGTGGCGGACTGACTCCTCGAAAGGGCTCAAGATTGTCTGGTAAAAAAAAATGTGGGAGTGCCAAGTCATGGGGCCACTGATTTGTGGGCGTTCCGAGTCGACGAAAAATATCTGTGCAATTAAAATCTTGGTTGAGTCTTAAAACTCAACGTTTCACCTCGGCTGAACATAGTGGTATGCATGGGAGCCAATCACGGGGGCACTTGGGAAATTTCATGATTTCCCATACAGCCAGTCTGCCCCTGAGCCTAGGTTTTACTTGCAAGATATTCAGGCTGCCTGTCCTTGGACTATTTATTGCATCTGATACGGTAAGTAACCCCCTTGTGAGACTGACTGTATAAATCACACTCAGCCGCCTGACCTAAAGGATACTTATCATATGTCACTGAAGGCTAGTGCAGATCCTCTCTGTAGGTGTCCTGACTGTCTTTTCAATTGTGCTACTCTAGGGCAGGATATAATTCTAGCCACACTTGTATCCAACAAGCTGGCAATAGAGATCTTTAATTAATAAAACACACTGGGAAACAGACAATAGAGCTCCGACCTTTCATTGTGTTGAAATGTGGCCAGTAAATACTGCCGCTGTCCTCAAAAGGTAAAACAATTGGTACTTTTCGAAAGCAGTTGACATCAAGAGCCCAGGCTTTGGAGCAAACAGTATAAAATAGCAAATTTCAACCAAAAGAAAAGTTAAAAACGAAAGGAAGGGGAGGGGAGGGGATTTGGTGGGATACACTTTAGCAAGAAAGGTCATAAATCAAATGCTTTTTGGGGGTCTTTGTGTCGACATGCACAACTTAGTGGGGTGCCCAACATGTTTTCCTGTCCGCTTGTATGTGCATTGGAACGTAAGCAAAGCAACAGCAGTTCCTGAATGTTGCATTGGTGAGCAGTGTTTGAGCAGCTGCCTGACGGAGGCGGTAGCAATGGAGTAACGTGGATTAGGTTCATTTTCAAACGCGCTATCAGAACTGCAGTCTGAAGCAGTGAGGCATCCCATGGCATCACAACAAGCCTGTCTGCAGGCAGGCACAGCCTACCAGCGATTGCTGCTGCATGAGGTTAGGCGAATTGCGACATATTGCGACATGCAGCACCAACAACAGAAGGAGCTAAAGTGTGGTCAGAAGCGTGGATTTGAAATGAAAAAATAGAGAACGGAAAGACATACCACAGTGCTCTCTATGGGGGGGTAAGAGTGGTTGGGAGTGGGGGCAAGAGGGAGGGAGGGGATTCTTACCACATTTTGAAAGTCTGCCTGTCAGCAGCTCCATACAGTGAGAAGTTGCTGGATTACAGGGGGAAAAGGTAAATGTTTCTTTACGTTTCCACTGCATAAACCGAAAAACTAAAACATGAAAATTCAGGCAAAGAAGTCATATCAAGTCACGGCTGCAAATGGTAACGTGAACATTTTTTAAAAAAATTAAAAAACAAATTAAAAGGTCCAAAGGTTTAGTTACGGACATGACCTCATTTGAACTGTATCTGTTGAATGGCAGATCTTCTTGGACTGAAATAGTTCATTCTTCCTGAGAGTACAGGGAAGATGAGGTTGTGGATCCAGCTCACAGCCGGGATGAAGAGAAGAAGGGGAGAGATGAAAATGCATTGTCAGAGAAGCTGGAAAATGAGGAGTGGAATGGCACACGCATATGAGGCGACTTGAGGGACGCCCTTACACCAGATGGAACGCACACGACCGTGGAGACATTAAAAACATTCTGAATAAACACTGCTAGTGCTAACCAGGAATCTGCAGGGAATCAGTATTCAGCATGGAGCAGATACGTTCAAATGAGCTATGGATTGACTGTCACCTCCATTTGGAGGCAAAATTCAACACCTTGCATCTGTGACAATTCCCCCAGGTTTCCGTTCTGCCATTAGATGCAAAGGTTTTGTAAATTAAAAAGAAGACAGCTGGCGAATCTTCCAAATGAAGAATCAGCAACAATAGTTTAGAATAAATCATGATATACTTGTTTGGTTCAGATAACACAATTAGCAAATTACAGGCATTTTGAAGTTGCCAAAAAAAATTCTCCAAATATAAAAACACCTTTCTTTTTCGTCACTGAACTGAACAGTCAGGTTTAAATACACTTTTGGTGAGCACGTTTCAAAGGAATTTCAGTGGGACTTGGATCAGGTTTGTGTCACAACTGATTTACCCATGAAAGGAAATGGGATATGTCCCTGGTTTGAGGTGGGTTTGTATACAAATGAGGTACTAACTTTTATACTTTGCTAACTTCATTTATGCTCAACGTGTATAATACAGAATGAACTGACCGTTTATATCTCCTTTTAAATTCAGAATAAGTATTTAAAACGCGTACCATGGTTGGACATGGGACATACTACAATATTTCAGTAAACGTGGCTAAATATCAGCAGTCATTGGCCTGAGTTGAGTGGTTTGGTTCAGAGTCGTAGAGGTATGACATTTACATTGCCCTGAAGAAGGTTCCTCATCCCCTGGCCTATGCTCGTTCTGTTCTGCAGTTTATTTCCATCAAATACATTTGCGAATTATACTGTGAAGAAGGACTCCTGTGAACTCTTCAAAACCTTGGCGCATTTTTGTGGATATTCAGAGTTTACGAAACCTTTTGGCTAATCTTATGACTGGAATAGAAACCCCTTTTTGCCGCTCAGAGTAACCTTCAGCTCACAGGTTCTAAATGGGCTCTTGAATGTACCAAACAAAAGGGTAACAGCCGCTGTCAAAGATAATCAAAAACTGTTTTGTAGAATTGACAGCTTTTGATACTCGCTGATATGAAGATATTTTGCGATGTCCAAATATTTATTACTCTGGTCATCCAAAGTTTCTGAGATATCACAAAAAAGATCCTTAGGCAGGCAATGCTGTTTTCCCATTCAGTTACTACTTGCAATGAAATGAATAGATTCAACATGTTGATCGTAGGTTTAACAGGTTGATTCACCGTTAAACTGCACAATCAGTGCATGCCAACAGCTAAAGTCAGGGGGGATTTACAGCATGCATGGAATGCACTGGTATAATGGTTCCGCTAGAGGCCTCTTAATGGGACTATTGTGTTCCCTTTGGGAGTGTTGCTGAAAGGCATGCAAGATACGATGCACCTGTTGAGAACAAAGTTAATTTATGTGGATCAAAATGGAATATTTACCAGATAGCTGTTGCACTGTAGGTTGGTCATGTGTAGTTAACAACTGGGCTTGGATGGTTTCCACCACTCTTTTGAACCGACGACTTGGACCTTTTGTTAGGAGAAGAGAATTAAAAGGTAATTGGAATGAGATCAATGTTCTCAGCACAAAAGACACTCACATGCTATGATGCTCGGGTGCCATCTTTAGGTTATTATTACAATAACCTGACCTTGTTTGCTCTCTGTTATTATTAGCCTGGTTTATTTCAGCTCTACCTCATCCATGGATCAGAGGAGGAAAGTGATCCTTAGAATAGATACAATCATTCCCAACCAATATTAGACTCCCCAGAGATGTCAGTTTCTACGTGAAAGTAATACTAGGTTTGGCTCTGTGTGATCCACAAACTGCACTACACATGAACATTTTATGAAATCAGCCATGAATTGTTGAAAAAAGGTTGGGATCTCGCTTGTCTCTCAGGTAAGTTCCACTTCCCTCCCTCCCTCGCCCTCCTCATGATGCTAAGTGGTGGTCAGACAGCATTGCAATCCTGACCTTCAATCTGCAAGGTATCGAGTGCAAAGCTTTCAATCAGTATTCAAAACTAATTCCACTTCAAATTAAGTCATTCAACCTCCTACTACTAGTCTCATCACTGCATTTATACACATTAAATGGCATTTGTCACTGTTTAGCCCACGCCTGATCCCTTTGCCTTTTCCTGGTCATTTTGTAGATTTTTAAAAAAAAAGAAATCAGGAAACATTTTGTGAACAGCAGTTTTCTAAATTTTTGAATGGATCTTACATTTTTATTCTAAGATTTAACCGTAGTATTCAATTTGGCACTGGCAATACGTCTCAACACACTGCCATTCCACTGTGCGTAATTGGCTGCCGTGTTTCACCCACAGTCACTATACTTTACAGTATATTCTGTGAAGTGCTTTGAGACGTCTCAAAGACACGATAAGGCGCTATATCAAATGCAAGGATTATTATTGTTATATTTCAAACTGTGTCTATATGTTTAAGACTCAGGTACTGTGACAATACTCTAGCAAGAAGCAATCTGCAAATAGAAGATTTTTTTCCCCAAATTTTCGCTGAATTATTCTTTCTCCAATGCAGATTAAGTACTCACAGCGAACAAGCACGTACAATATGTATTTTGTAACACTACAATTTGAGCTCCTTAAATATTGCCATAAAAAAAAACACAGCATAATTAGAGCAATTTTAAGATGAGATAGGAGAGGATGCACACTCTTCAGCAACAGTGAAAGTGGGTAGGGAGATTTACTTGTAATTTAAGAGCACTCGAGGTAACAATTTCTTCTGAAACTTAATTTCGTTTTTAATTAGAATCGTCAACGAAAATGCTTATAGAAAATTCTGCTTCAAGTGAAAACTTAAAGTATAATTTTTTTTTCGCGTGCAATAAAAACACAGCTTTCACACACAGAATGCTTCCAGGATTGGTATCAGCTGTGGTACTGCACTGTTCTCTCTGAACTCCTCAATTTGATATGCAAACCCTATCTGCTCCTGCAGACACAAGGATATAATAAATCACTGATGACCCTAAGAGATGCATATCGCAATGCAACACAGAATGCACAGGTGCCAGGGATCATCAGAGTTTGTGGAAGAGGCCCCTTTCCCTTCGCTCTTCCTGCTATTAATAAGCTTAAAACACCACCTCCATTGCCCTCGTCGTTGCTGTTACCTGACAGCAGTGTGAAGGTGACTGAATAAATCCCATTCTCCTTCTGTGCCTCATTGCCTTCTGTGTAAGTGATGTCCACCTGAAATTTAACTGGCTTCTGGAACACAGCAGGGCCCCCAGTGGATTTGTACTCTGCTCGGAAACTTGTCTGCGACATGACACTGTGACTTAGGCTGGGGATCTGCAAATCAGAAAATGAATATGCCGTTCATTAATAATAGGGGCAATAGGCCTGCATATCTTTAGGTGACATGATCCTGTATAGTGAATAGTCAGGCAACTCAGAAAATTACAGACTTTAAACAATCCTATTTACAAGCAAGAATGTTTGTTATGGAGTCTTAATGTCAATGTCTTAACCGCCGATTAATCCTTCCTCCACATACTGGTACTGTGAAGATATGTAATTTAAGCACATTTTGCCATTGAAAATGAATTTTGAATTGTTCGTCAATAATATTAACGCTCCTATGATTTTCAGCAGCGAAAAGATGTAGTCCTACCACACTCTCCATGATCTCTTACCCCACGGGAAAAATTTAAATTTCCCTACTGAGCCTGATGTTTTCATGTGATAAAGTGACACACGATTTTGTGACTATATGGTGTTTTGGGAACTAGAGCAGATTACAGAGCACTTGGTACAGTAGTAAACCATCATTTACTGACAGCTACAAATCCCATAAGAGGCAATCATTTTGGCAGGCAGATTTCAAGCCGTCAGTTCCAACCTGACTCCCCCATTAGACGAGGAGAAAGGTACATGTTCTGTAAAATGTTTAGTTTTTTTGGGGGGGTGGGGGTTCCACAATTGTCTTAGCAAGCTGGCCTTTCTCCTCTGGGAACTACCTTTAATTCCAACCCAAACGGATGGAATGACTAAGTCAAAGGGGGGAAGGTTGTGCAAGCTACAGTACAATGTTTCCATGAAAGCTGTGACCTTCAGTGCTCCTATCATATTCATGCCAGTATCCCTTTCCACTAGGCTTGCTTTCTGTTCACTGTTCTCAGTTATGTCAAGTCCAAGGTTCTTTGGTGATGGCAGCCACCTGCTGTATTATTAGTGGGCTGCAGTGTGAAATGAAAAACGGGCTGCTTTGGAGTCTGATACATGCACACTGTTCCAGTCCTTAGAGAAAGAAAGATCTCCACAGGACTCGACTAGAGTAAATGGCAAACCGTTAAAAAAGAACAAGCTCTCCAGATCACAGACAACTGACTCTAGGAAGCTTTACCGTTCAGGCTAAATATAAATACTGTATTCTTAACTAAACCGGCCAAGCTTGCAATTTAATCGATCGGCAGCAATCAGTATGGGCCGTTTCTGCACAACTTGATCATCACATGAAACAAATCTTTTACACAGCATGGGAGAGAGCAAAGAGATGATTTCTTACTTTCCACAACGACTGGGCACATTGTGTGTGTGATTATCTTTTAACGACGTAACTCGAGTTACAGAACACTGCGTGCAGTGGATAGAAAGGCAAGTCAAAAAAAACGTTTAGTTGAATGAAAAATTGACATTTTGTCCTGTGCTGCAATGTGTTTCTCAATTTCAAATAACCAAATAAAATAATCAGTTATTTTGTTTGCGACATTTCAGCATACCCATTTTATGTGTGTTCACGGTGCAATTACAGACAGAAAGGGGGAAAAGCCCTTTCAAGGTTTCAGTGTATTTCCATTAAAATCTGATACTTATAATAATAATAATAATAATAACTTACTGATAGAAAGGCATGGACAATGTCTGCCTTAATGGAACTCAATGGCTTGTCTTTGATGACCACAAAGATCTGCTCCTCTTTGTCCAGGTTGATAAAGTTACCAAACCACGATTTTTTGGCGAGTCTAAATGACAAGGTAAAGGAACAATGATGTCAGTACTTTAGTCGGAAAAACATTCTTAAAGTAAGTATTTTAAGTTGCAGTAAGAACGTTTGAACAAAACATTAAGCTTTGGAATACAACTGTAGCAATCAAAAGAATCTGCATTGGCTGAGGAACTGGACCTTACAGCTACAGTAAATTACCCACATAATTTACCGCGGGGTAATTATGAGCAATGCAATGTGTAGATCTACAGAGGCATTAATGTTAATGGTATACAACTCATAAGTGTCAAACCGATTAAAAAGTGCATTTAAATGCATTATGTTAATGGACGCTTTGTGAATATTCTAATATCCTCAAAGATCCTGATACTAATGGTGAAACAGCTGCAAATATTGCATTTGAAAGACTCATCAATTCCAGACTATAATTCCTCAATCATAATAAATGATCTGTTTTTAATGTTCAAATAGCACATAGTGGGCTGTGGTGCAAGACCAGATAAGACGAGTTGTCATTCACTGAAGATGGAAACTGAACTATGCACCAAGTTTCTGTAGCCACTGCCCTCGTTGCTTAAGAGTCAGCTCTGCATCATGCAGTTTAGTTTGCCTGCTGGTTAACATTGGTGGCATTGTACGTAGAAAGTTACTGCGACAGAATAACTACAAATGATCTTAAAATTGGATTATTGCCATGCTTTATCTTGTACGGTTAGTTACGGCTCACAGAACTATTGAGACCTCCTGATAACTTGTTGGGTTATGTCATTGCCAGGTGTGCTACCTGGATCTATACAGATCTGGAAGATCCCAGGTTAATAATAATAATCCGTGCATTTGATATAGTGCCTTATCACGTCTTCGAGACGTCTCAAATCGTCTTTTTGTTTTGGTTGAATCACTGGTCTGTGTTAATCTCAACCTGGTCAGCAATGGGGGCACTACAGTTGGTTTCAGTTCCCTCGCCCCCACCCCCCCCACCCTCTCCCCCACGTATCAGACGAGGATAGGATTGCTCGCTGCTGTTTAGTAGCTTGCTGACATTCATTGTCCAAAATCTTGCAGGAGGTGTCAGTGCCTAAGGTACTGTACGCCAGTATGAACTAGTCACTTCAGTGGGTTGTGGAGGGCAGGAAATGAACTATGTAAACAAGAAGAGAAAAGACCACTGCAATTTTGAGCAATAATTTTAATTGGTCCCTTTTGCAACATTGCTGCAACAGTGCTAGCCATCAAGAGACTGGAACTGCTGGAGTTAAGTGATGACTTAGCTGTGTGTTGCTGGCAATGTAATTGCATCAAGCGTTTAACAAGTAATAAAGAAACGCCAACGTTACCACATTAAAACACTGGTGAGAAGCAAAGTTCCACTCTGAGAGGAAATTACCTGTGGCACATTGTGAATTTACATACATATGCAGCCTCTCTTGTCTTTTTCTTTCACCCCCACTCATGAAGTCATTAGCATAATTCTTGAAATTGCTCCTCCACTTCAGTAAAGCAAAAAAATGGTCTTCAAATATTCAGAGTCCATGACTCAATCAAGCAGCCCTGATTAACACTGACGCAGGAATGAATAGAATTACACTGAATAAGCTCATTAAAGCACATCATTATGTTCTGATTTTTTTTTAAACAGGGATCTTGCTCAACATTAACCTCTTCAAGCTTGTTCAAATTGCCAGTAACTAACCCGTTTGCATTTGCACTAAACTTTCAATTAATTTGGGTCCTATTTCAAGGGTCAGTGATACAATGGATAGTTGAACTCTCCATCATTCTGTTCCACAACCATTTGGCCAGGGGCTGGCTTTCAGCAAAACAAGAATGATTCTGTCATTGACTTTCTCTTCCCGTTCCCCAACCACCACCATATTTCACATAAAAGGCAACACTTACACATGGAGCTCTCTCTGATATCCTAGAAATAATTAATGAAACTCAACAGCTGAAACAGAGCCACAAACACGACTTGCATTCCCCTAAAAAGGATAAAAAAGAACTGAGCTCACGTCTTTTTAATAAGTTGACTCTTATCTAATATTACCATCAGACATTGCAGTCTTCAAAGGGCTGAAGAAATGTTCTAAGTGCCCTTAGAATATCTAAATGGAATCAAATGCTAACTGCAGGGCAACCAGGTTTACGTGTACACTATTGTAACACTGAGTTTTAAAATAGATTTGGGCACAATTAATGTTGCAAAGCATTTATTCAGCTTTGCTGTCAAAAACATTGCGGAAGTATAGAAAGGCGAGTTTCTCCACATTACACCAGGTAGTCACTAACACTTTCGGAAGTATTTGATCTTGATTTTTGCCCTGGTTTCTGGTTTCCTTCTCCACAAGTGACTGTGCAGAGTGATTCACAAACAAAGAAACTGCAGCAAAGCTAAATCTGCATTAATCTTGAGCGGACCCATCTACGCATTGTTTTCCACCCTCCCTCCCAATGTGAAATAAGTGCCATAATGAGTGGATGGAGCAGAGGTGGGTGAATAATGCGGCATTTGATTCTACTGTAACTCTAAACTAATTTTGTGCCTGGTGCTAGCACGATATGTACTGCCACCCACTACTTCCCATGGTGCCAGCTCCCTATTATGTGTCTACAAGTGGGTTGCGCCCTTAGCCCACATGGGCAGCCAGCCCAACGATATAGTGTTCACATCACTGACACGTACAACAGCTCAGAGGTCCTCAGAGCTCAGAAAAGCTGCCATTGATTTGGAAATGAAGCTCTATTTTGCAATTTCCAAAGAACTGCGTGTGCAAAGTTGATTGTAACTTCACTGAAAATGCATCTCAGTGCAAATGGGGCAAATTATCAGAAACTCATGAAATCCTAGGGCTGCTTTCAGTCAAATGCGTTTGTGGAATCTAAACACATTAGAGCATTCTTGCCATGGTGACTTTGCCTAATGGTAGTATGTGGGCTGCAGCCGATTATGTGGTCTCTCCGAGAGCAAAGTGTTGGTTAAGAGGAGCGTAAATGCTTGCAAGCTGCTAAGTATTTCACAGAAATGAAAGCACGATAGAGCACAGCAATTAGAGATTACTTGTGAAGTATGGATTTCTCAACTTAGCAAGATGCAGCGATCAGATCCAAACTATTTCACTTTCTTTCGGTTAACTATTTCCAGCTGATGGTGAAGTGACGGAGACTGACTTGCTGGTTGCAGTGTAAAAAAAAAGGGCTCAATTTTAACACCACCTTTTGAAAGGAAGGCAACTCTACGATAAGGTTAGTAGAAATTCTAATGGCTTCAGTTACTTGTGGGTCTCCTAACTCAAGCTCCCTGCTCAGTATCGGAAGAATGTACATATTCATCATTTAACTCTCATTAACTCATGGAATTCATTCTACTTGCACCATCCCTATAATCATTTAGGGGAAATTATATACACTCTGCAATTTTTATTTTATGAGCTGAATGGATGTAATTATTAAGTTGGTTGGAGAGACCCAGATATTAATACACTGAATGAAACAAATCAGTAGCTCACTGACAAAAGCAACACTCAGCAATAACTTTGCAACCAGCAGAAAAAAAGAGCTTCTGTTTCTGTTCCAGAACTGGCCACTAAAAAAAGCGAGCCGTGCAAAAAATGTTGGAAGCAAAAGTAGTGAGACTTTATTTTCTGCCTATCGATCAACAAACGTGGACAACATAGAGCAATGGGCAAGAGGCAGCGACTTACTCTGGGGAAGATTCTGGAGTTAAGCTTGACATCTCTTCTGGTGTAGGTACTACATGGAAACAACAGAAAGACACATTTACACTCTATTTCAATCAAACACTTTTGTTCCTCAACAGGAGTTGCAAAAGCTGTAATTGATCATATCTAACAAGCAGTTTAATACTTCAGTTGCTCCGATGACTGGTATCGATCTGCATTGCTCTTGATGTGCCAGAAAATAGGCACAAGCAATTTCAGCAAACAGAACGATGCAACAGAACGCGAGCAAAGAAAGAGTCATCTTGCTCAAAAACTATGGATTTGTATTTATGCTTTAATCCATTTTGAGTCCGAATGATGCAAGGGGAAACGTATGAAGGCTTTCCTAAGTCTGAATGATGGAGTTAATTTGGCCAGTCTGGATTTATTGGGCTTTCAGGCAACAGATGCAATGCCATACCTCTAACTCTTCATTACATCAAAACCATCAAATTCAGAAAGATTACAATCAGAATACTGGAGTGATCGTGAATGCCTCTGATAAACTTCTTTTTAGTCCCAGTCATTAGTCCCAGGTTTGTGTGTACGTGTGAGTGAGAAGTGGTGCTCATAACTGCCTGATCTCAAGTGCTCTGTGATGCTACCATTCATGAGCGGCACTATATAGATGCAAATTGTTGTTGACGTTCTCCTTCAAAGTTCAACACCTAGCAGCCCACTAAAGAAATGGCAGGTGTGCTGGATCATTAATCAAAACAGCTTGAAACCTTCAAAACCCTCCCATTCTGTTTTCTCCCCTCCCCAAGATGGAAGAACCACATTTCCCCAGAGCGGTGGGGGGGGGGGGGGGGGGAGAGAGGGTTTAGGAGCCTAAATTTGGATGTTCGTTGATACTTGGATTTCCAGGTTTCCCAGCTGGTAATCCAATTGTCAGAATGCTTGCATGCTTAGAATTATACTGGTGACAATAGACATTTGATGCAAGACATCAAAACGTTGCCCCAAACAGTGGTACCGGAGAGCGGGAGACTATTTTAATAGCTTCAGACAAATCACAATTTGTGTTTTTAAAAACTGTGCGGAACTGAAACCCAAGAAAATCTTTAATCCCTACGATGGCGCAAGAATACAAGACCATCTTACAGTGCAGCGGATTGAAGCAGTCCCAGTCTTACCCAGTCCTGGAAGAAACAAAAATGAAAATGTACCGAAGTAGGGGCACAGAACCTACCCTGTAATTTCCTGCGATGAAACCGTGGCGATCCAAGAAAACTGTTCTTGATGGAATTCAGCCGCGTCCTCCATGGCATCCCTCCAATGCTGGGACTGGATGGTGGTGTTGGGTTCGGAGTGCTCGCTGGACTCTCCTTGGGAGTGTGGACTGGTGTGCCCTTTGGGGTGGGGAGGGGACTTCCCCTTGGGGAAGGGTGAGGGGTCACCTGTATTATGGGGATAGATTTGGTGCTTGGATCAGTACTGGGGATCAACCTGATAAGAGAAAGCGGGGTAGTCTGGACAGAAGGGACAGACAGTTGGTAAGGTGATGTGACTGCGGGCTGCTGACTCTGAGTGTTTTGAACAGGAAGATTCTGGGGAGCTTTTGTTTCTGCGGTGACAGCGGGAAGAGGGTTGGATTTTGTGCTTTGCAAAGGCTTTTCTGCCAGTTTGCTTTTAGCAGGAAGAGTCTGTGTATTTGGGTTGGGTTGAAACCCTATCTTTGGTAGAAGCATATTACTGGGCTTTGTTATGTTTCTGTTACAGTTAGGGTTTACAGAAGCACGTGTTTTGGGAAAGAGGGTATGATCAGGAGTCTGGGGAGGAACAAAAAACTTTCTGATAGGCTACACGACAGACAATGTCATGCATGTAGAGTCAAAGGAGAAGAGACAGACAGACAGGACAGAGCATGGAACATAGACACAAATCAGGAAGATGGGAGTGCAGAAAACAAAAAAACGTGCTGTTAGGCGGTAGGCAAAGTGTCATAACAAACAAAAGTGAGCATAAGATACTGTCAGATACATCTGCATTCAAAATCATAAGACTTTATGCCAGCAAATTAATAGGAAGAGAAGCAGCACATTGTCATTAATGTGTTTCGTGAACTAACACCAGTACAGAGCAAAACACGGAGCCAAAGTGGCAATAATTGTAACTCAGAGTTAAAGGGTCAAAACAGAGCTAGCAGTTGTTACATCTAGAGGTAAAAAAATCATAAAACAATTGAAAAGCGTGACAATCAAAACTCTAATGTGGGGAACTGTTCAGTTTTACTTACCCTTGGACTGCTTAAGGGGCTGGTTGAGAGACCCGAAGAAGCTCCACTTATTGATCTGGACCTGTACAAAGGATGGATATCTGAATCAATTTATTTCTTTTACATGAAAAACACAAGCTTGGTGAAAATGGTCAAGTTCACAGGCTCCAAAATAAAATGCACTCGATCCTATAATCTTGCAAATTTCCTTCGATCCTTAGTGTTTTGTTTTGTTTTATTTAAGAGGAGAAAGGTGTGCTTACAAAATCATAGCAGCGTGCCATCTTAAATGAAAAATGAACCTGCATTTCTCTGCATGCTACTCTCCCACTTTTATGTGCTCCGTGAATTACTGTGTTTAGACAAGGAGATTATTCTGTAATGAGTGAAAGTACAAGGTAGTGGCCCATTTAGTGCAACAGATAAAACTGTGCCAAGTTTGACTTCTTAATGCTGCGAGTCATTATTTGGATTGTCAGGCAACAGCTACATATTTTTTTACATACTGCAAGCACAACGGTGTCTGAAATAGGCACCGACTGGAAAAAAAGATTCATTCCACAATAAAATTGATGTACAGATTTGCTGAATATAGTTCCTGAAAGAATTCCAGTGTCGTTTCATCAGCATAATACAAAGATTAACCACAATCATCACCATCCCAAGAGACAGAAGTAAGACATTAGGAATCTTACACATGCAGATATACCAAGCAACTTTTTAAACACCTGTTACATTATCCAAGGGAACACCAATGAATGGTTTAAGGAAACCACGAGAACGCCATGCATATACTTAAAGGGAGGAAAACAGCATAGATCAGGCCATCAAAACAGTTGGTTAAGGGCTTCCCAACGTGTGCAAAGTTCAGGCTTCAAAACAAAAGAACAGAAAGTGGGGAAGGTGAATACTATCCAAGCCAGAGGTTAGTCAACACTGTGGACATGGTGTGCAATTCCAACAGTACATAAGCAGCTCAACAGAAGAAAGTTTGCCATTCATATTATGGGGCAGAAACCTCTAGGGTTGGGAAGGGGGGAAGAAGAAAAGATATCTTAGCTATTCCGACAACCATGTGCACTAAGGGCATCTAATGCAGCTACCCACAGTGAGGGAGAAATCATGTGAAACACTTTTACTACCTTTCTTCTTTGTTGATTTTGGGATTGGCATCTGTGATATCCAAGCTTTTACTGAACATACTTTTACTACAGTAGGGACAGAGTAAAACAAAAAAAGAACAAAATTACATTGGTAAATTATTAAAGCAAGGGGCTAGGTTAGAACTCGATATATAGTTGAGAAAAGAAAACTTTGCTGGGAGCTAGCAGCACCAAAATAAGTATCTCAAGCACAATAATATACTGTGTCTCCCCACCCACGTTAGTGAGACACATTTCATCTACTGGCAGTTGTGTTCAACATACCAGGAGAAGAGCAAAAACGTTAGGTGAATACGGAGTTAAGACTGAACAGGAAATAATATCCAGAGGGACCACTTTTGTTCAAAGTGCTCACACTCTCTCTCAAAATAGAAGAAAATTGTATCCTTAAATCAACGTTCCTAGAAGTGAGAAATTCTTGTTGATGAATGCTGCCCTTGACCTCCTGCCTCCTGGCCCAGCCACTCAGGTGACATAATAATAATAATAATCCTTGCATTTAATATAGGGCCCTTATCAAGTCTTTGAGGTGTCTCAAGCTGTTTCAAATAATATACTGTAATGTAAAAGCAGTTGTGGTTTGAGTGAACGAATTATTATTAGTTTTTTTTAAAAGGCATTATTACCCCCTGGAAAGCAATCTGTCAATCGACTAACAACTGGGTTCCTATTTACTGCTAGGTAAACAGAGGAGTGTGGAGTAAGGAAAGTTGCCTAAAGTTTCACCCCATTAGGAAGAGAGCAGTCTAGGTCCCAAAGTAGGTCCAATAGGTTTCCTGAGGACCGGAACTTTGCACCAGCCTGAGAGCTAACCCGAGAGCCAAACTAGGAAAGGATCAGTATCAACAGCCTCTCAGAGTAACTCAGAACTACTGCTCCCACTGAATTCATTGCAACACTTGCAGCTTCTCTCCAGTGTTAACAGTTCAGCCTGACATAGGAAGAAATGGATTCCAAGGAGCATCGTCAAGCAAGAAGTTCTCACATCAGGCAAAGTATTTTATGGGGACATGATTTTCTTTTCTTGCTAGAGGGTGTGTTTAGAACAAAGGGTACTTTACTCCAGAATTTTTTTTCCCCCTTTAACAGTTTGAGCACTTGAAAGATGATATTCTTCAAAAAGGATTATGATTTAGAAACACATTTATTACTAACAATACTTATATTCAATATAACTGCTTTTACACCTTAGAGAATACAAACTGATTGAGTTACAAAATGAGGCTACCTCCTTTTTTCGCCATCTGGTGGCAACTTTATCTGACACTTTGCAACGCAAAACACAAGCAGTCCTCCTAGGACATCCAGGCATGCTCAGGTCAAGAACATCTTTGAACTGCACAACATTAAGGTTTGCCAGACTCTTCTATGCAACGTCTCGAAGCTCAGAGTGGGAGTGGAGGGAAGCACTGGGTTTGTGGTCTGAAAGTGCCCTGGAAACGTCGATATTCTTCAAGTGTTAACAAAATAACCACAGCCTCCTCAATGGAGGATCTCCGGCATCAAACACTACCCTGAGATCAATCCCTCTGTTAGTTTGTGAAATAGCATTTCATTGTGTGACACCACAATACAATGCTGTACCTCTGGCCATGCTGTGCCATCTCAATAGCCCGTCGAGCTGGAACAGGAGAGCCTCCATCGGTCACACTCAGTACCTCCATCGATTTCCTTTCAGGTCGTCGTTTGCCATGTCGGTTTAACATTGGTGAGTCTACTCTTTTTCTAGGTGGATCTTTAAACACCCACGACAATTAAAAAAACTGCATATTAAAAATCTTCATTACGTCATTTCTTTTCTGTACATATTAGATCACCGTACTCAACCATTTTCTATGTTTAGCTATAAACTAGACTGGCAGACTGAACACACTGCAATTAAAACTTGCGCACTAGACAATTCCATTACAACATTCAAATAAATGATAAAGGATATTCAGCGATACAAATGTATATTAATACATCTTAAATTACCATTAACTGTTTTGTAAGCTTTAATCAAGTTCGTCTTTTACAATCAAGCATTTTAACAGTCAAATCAAGAGAAGCTCATAACTACTTAGTCAAAATATAACACTTGAGCTATGGTGTCTACAAATTACAGCTAAAAGTTGTCCAGTGCTAATTCAATCATTGAACAATTCAATCTAAAGAAGGCCAGTAGACAATACCAGATAAAAACACATTTTACACAAAGTGAATTAGGTTCTATATCACGCTGATGTTTCCAGTGAATGTGGCAATGGATCAATCACAATTTGCAATTTGAGGATTAAAAAAAGCAGTTCAGGAATTGTAGCACATAACTGACAAGAAATTGATTGGTAGTTCATAATTCCAGGGCAGGATCAGGTCTGAGTTTACCTTGAGTTGACTGTAAAGAGCTCTATAAGATACCAATGTGCCTACACCTTACACACACCATCTAACTAAGATTATTCAGCGAGCTTTACTAAAACAATCACAGAGGTCCAGCACTCTTACCTATATCAACTCGAGGGGGTAGATCTTCATCTTCATGACTTGGATACCGCTCTTTTCGATCAAGAAGAAGGAAATAGATCATTTTTTCTTGATTTTCTCTGCAAATCAGAAAAATAGTTGGTGCATTTTAGTCAGTGAACGTTACAATATATCTGGTGTAGACATTATGTGACTGCAAATTTGGATTAAGGAAGATCTGACAGCAAGAAATAAAGATGCAAATGCTCCTTTCAAACTGTATAAATAGTACAAGTTTATGAGATTAATCGCACCAAAGGAAATCTGTTGCATGACACTGTAAGGTGTGATTACATTTATTGTATATCCAGGCTTTTATATCCTATCACTTAAGCATGATATCATTCAGCATTAATGAAAGTATTTCTTTGCACAGAAGACATTCAAAAGCTGAAACAGGTTACCAAGAGCATAACAGAGGCTTGGATACTGGATCATTTAAGAACGTCTGAATGTTATCATGGTAAAACAGTGGAACTGAGATTCTGAAAGAAAGAGATCATTTGAACCATTTGCGATCTTGGCTTCAGAACAGAGGGAATTTGGGGAAAGACATTTGGTGGGGGTGCAGGAAGAAAGATAAAAACTACAGAAATAATAGTTAATAGGTAATAATAGAACAACTAATGTTGAAACTAATCAGGTTTCACACGTCCCGTGGGTGTGAAACATTCCCTCAATTTTTTTCCTCTCTGAACTCTCTTTACTCAGTTTAACTGCAGCAATTCACTCATGTGGTGAAGAAGGTAGAAGTTAATCCCCGCACACACTTCATGAATGTGCGGGGAGAGAGGAAATGAGTACGCCTGGTGGCAATCCCACTGCCGCTCTGATCACTTTATTATTCGTTCCTCAATTTGCCACGTTTAGACTTTAGATAAAAAATTCATGTTTAATCTGAGTGATAGATCAGAAATGGATTGATGAAGATTGTACTCCCGTATGCACAGGCTGATGAATCTTAAACAATGGAATAACGTGCCATGAATCAGTAAACAGTGGACATGGGAGCTCACTGGCCCCAGTAGTAATTGCTCTGTGGTGATAAATGTGGGATGTGGACTCTCAACTCTCAAGCTGAGATTATCTTGCATTTAGTGAAAGAAATTTAAAGCATAAAAAGGTAAAACATTTCCGGAATTCAATAAGGGTCAAATGCTTTTTTATGCCTGTGTCCCAATGCTCACAGGAGAAGGGAGAGACCAACAATACGACCCTGTGCCTAATGTACATACTGAGCTTTCTATGGCATGTTAAATGGCAATTCAGTTCAATTCTAACCATGGAATGTGAATTCCTGTGTTCCATCAGGTAATATTACTGTTTTAAGCTTTTCTAGGTTCAGGCAGATCCGGAATTCAGTGAGAGATTTGCATGGTGAATTTACACTCACTGCGTATTTACTGTCAGAACTCAATGTATATTGACTGGGATTCAACCAACATTTTCCTTTGCTCGCAGGTTGAGTGTAGTGACTGCTATGTACGATATTCTGATGATATTGAACTGAGACCAGCTAACTCTTGAGATCAAGGACTGAATCTTACACATTCGTGATGTGTAGAAAGTTGCCACCAAATAAGCCATTCTTTATCTGCACAATCTTCAACATGTTGTGCAATCATTAACACGTAACAAGCACAGAGTAAAATATTCTCAGTGACATCACCGCAAGTACCAATATAGTTTCAACAAACTCTTTTTTTCGCGCCGTTTATATTGGTCTATGAATTAATGCAGTGTCATCTAATCCTTATTAATTAACCATTGCACAACCTAGTAAATATTTTGACCCCCAATAAAGTAAAAAAAAGTTTAACCTGTTCCTGCTTCGAACAGTAAAAGTTGCATTGACTGGTTTCTGACTTAAACCATCACACGATTCCGTGCGTCAAGCAGCAAGCCGGCAATTAGATTGGGGCTATCACTGGTACAAACCTATTTTTCTAATGCTCCTCACGCTGTGTCTTCCTCTAGTATGATGTGCCAAAATATCATCCTCTCTATTAAGGTATCATCAGTGTTTTTATTGAACTATGCTACTTTCATTCCACCTCCCTCTCCCTCTCCCACTGGAAGCTCCTCAGACTGATCACAATAAGCAGTTCCCACTCTATTTATTACCTCTTCACAACATGGTCAAGCTTCACCATCCCTGTGGAGTTCAGCACGTCTCACACCAATCAATTGCGTGCTGCTTACTGAGCATCGGGGAGTAGAATACTATTGATGATGAATCGTGCTTATTGGATGATATAAATGGAAAATGAAAGCAGTGAAAGAATATTCTTTAACAAAGAGGGAATAAAACCAGTTGCAGGTCTGTGTCTCTGTTCCCCATTCAATGGTCACCAAAACAAGTGTGGAATAGGTACGGTTTGCACTGAATACAAATTGGATATTGTAACATTGTAATAAAGTAATAATAATCCTTGCCCTTGATATTGCGCCTTATCACATTGAAATTTCTCAAACTTTACAGAAGTTTTAGTAAAGTGCAGTGACTGTCTCTGTAGGTGAACACAACTACCAATTTGCCCAAAGCAATATCTCACATACAGGCATGAAGTGAATGATCAATTTTGCATCTGGGAGACTTCTGACCGGGACACCAGAAGAAAACCCCCTTCTTGTTTTGAATGCCGTGGAATCTTTAATATCCACAGCAACTGGCAGGCAGAATCCTGGTCTAATGCCCATGACTAATGAAGGACTGGATACCCAACAATGCAACACTCTTTCAGCACTCTATTAGAGCGTTGTCATCTTAGACTATGAGCTCAAAATCCCAACATGGGGTTTGAAGCCACAGCCTTCAGATTCAGAGGGGAGAGGACTATCAACTGAGCCAGGATGACATTGGGAAGTTACACCCGATTAATGATGGACACTGCTGACGTGATAGTACTCAGCTGGTAAATATAAATGGAAAAATCAACAAAGTGATAAAAAACTTACTCGTCTGATACCAAATCCTGCATGAGTTTGTTCTTATCTCGGAAACATCCTAGCGAGTGCATGCTGTCCAGGACATCAGGATCAATGTCCTCCAGTGACGGAAGTGAACGAATTTGTACCTTTCTTGGCACAGGCTGCTCTGGTTCCGGTTCATTCTTGCCTCCTCTGTAAACACACCAATAAAACACAATTCCAGCTCCATAAAATAAACTGCGTCTCACCATCAGTGGGACCATTTATGTCGAGCTACTTAGAAATCCTCAAGTCTTTCTTTGGGAACTCATCAGGTGACAAATGTCAAAGCTGGGAGATGAGATTCTCTTTTGCTTCGTTTTTATATTCACTGTCAACGTTTCAAGCCTATCCAGCACGAGTTAGATATAAAGTTTCCTCTCCTCCATCCTCAATTGTTGAAGCTGAATTCAACGATTCTGTTTCATCCCAACCTAACAGCACCCCTATTGCACCAGACAATTTACCACAGCTCCACTCTTGTGGCTTTTGAGTGGGAAAAATCAATTGGCCCTGAAACAGAAGCAGTTTATGTGCTGTCAACGTGTCGTTATCAGGAGCTGGACTGAGACAAATTAATTCCATCCCATTAGTATGGGCTACATTTGAGTCCCAGTCCCACAGGTAAATGGGAGTGTTCTGAAGCACTAAGCTAGGCAGCTCGTCCTTTATGATTGTCTCTAAGTGAATACACGTAAAATAGAGCTCATCATTTACATACTAATGAAGTCAATCGACTCACACAGCAAGGTCACTCTTGCACATGTGCCAGTTGTAGATCATGTAATAAAATTCCCACCACTCGCATACAGTATTTGAACGACATGAAAACTGTCGCCTGTGCTGAAATCAGCTGCACTCAATTAGTAACAAAGAGACATACTGAAACTTGTTGTACACACTGAATAGACGGTGCTCAACTCTGCTGAAAACAACCTGAAATACGCAAGACATTAAGTCGCATCCTTTTTTGATTCTGAAGAAACTGAGCGTATTTAGTTTCCTGTTGATAAAGGAGGAGCCTGGATAAAGAAATGAAAACACTGAGGGCCCAAGATCACAATTCGAGATTAGAGAGGCAGTGAAGATGGCTTTCCTGACTAGTGATACCGTCAGGCATAACTCACTCCAACTGAGATGAGAGCCAGGAGCCAGTTCACCCACAGTGCAGATGCACATCTAAAACAATACCGATGAAATGATAGATCAGCAGCATACTATTTTACAGTCTGGATCTGAATCAGCTAAGCTCCTGACTGAAGCTTCGTGTGATATTTGCAAATTCTTGCAGTGAGTGAGTACTGGCCCACAGCAATGGTTTTTAACTTTTCTGGTGTACTTGCACACTGTACCATAGAATAAGATAGAGATGTGTTCCCAATCTCATCTGGGTCAAAGGGAAGGGGCAAGGAAAGAAATTCCCAAGACCCTGGCCCACAGCTACTGGTTGATTCTATATTGGTGTTGTATGGAGAAGGCTTGCTCTTGCCACCCACTCACTCACAACAATGTTTATTTTATTGTACTGGAGAAGGGGGAGGAGGTTAAAGACAAGACGCATAAAAATAGAATGCGGGAAAGACGAGCGAAAAGCAAATCTAAAACAAATCTTATCGCAAAATATTAGCTGTTGACAAACATTGCATTGTGATAAGTTTAGTAAGTTTTGTTCAGGAGAAATATTTCATACATTGATAAAAAAGAGGTCTTGAGAAGAAATTGAATTTCGAACCATTCCATCGCGCTTTATCAGGTCAACAATGTGGTACGTGATTTGCGAGTGTAAGAAATTAGGAATAGTTCAACAAGTTGAATTTGCCAGGAGGAAAGACAAAGATCTCAAAGATTGGAACAAACACATAATAGTAAATGCCTTCAAACTAATAATTGTACTTACATATACCAAGAATGTTTCTGGATCTGGTCTAGCTGTTAAGAAAAAATATGAAATAATATATTAATTGATGGCCAGCAGGATAAAGAATTGCACCATATTATGTTGTATAAATATACCTATACACACACGCAGGGACACAACATAAACATTTTAATAGAAAATTCTGTCAAAGCTACCTCATATGTTTTTCATCAAACTGCTATTTAATAACAAATGGACTGAACTCTACAATTCCATTAGGTTTTTGGTTGACTTGAAAGGTACAACAGGGTATTTATTATAAACTCATTTAACACACCTCAGTCAGTAGCTTTGGACTCGCCTAAAACTGGTTACACGTTTACAACAGTGAATAAGCTCTGTAAATGGCTGGAGGCAGCATTATTTTTCTTCCTTCAGCAGCAGTGTAAGGGATAGTGCTCAGCTTTTTCAATAATGTCAGGGCAGATTTGGCAAATTTACGCCGCTGTGCTTTAAACACAAACAGATGTCGCGCGTGAATAATAAATCTTTAAATCCTCCCTGTCAAGAGCCAAGTCAACACAACCCGATAGAAAATGACTACTTGGCTTTAAATACGCATTCAAGACCACGCTCCTGTGTTGGGCAAGATAAATAGATTGAAACAACCAGTTTACATCAAATCATAGAATCAAAGATATTAGTTCCTGAATGTAGTCTCAGCAGCTTCAGTGTACGCTCTGCCGCCTTACCTGCCTTTGATTAACGAGCTTGTGGAAAGTGCATGCGATTTCCACTAGATTCAGAGCATTGCAAACGATTTGCAAATACAGTCGTGAATCCCTGTTGCGAGAGGGTAGGGCTCTGGAACTCTCAGGAACTACGCTCAGACACCCATTTCTATTCTGACTTCCCTAAAATCAGCATTTGAGCCCAATTCCAAAGGATCGATCGTGACATCCAGGATTCACTAGTTCCAATTCCTTTTGCTCATGTCCCAATTTACACCCAGCTGTCAACCGATCAGCAGAGAACCAGATATCCCCCCCTCCCCACCTCAATTTACCAGTAATGAGAGATCAATCGCCCTTTGATGTTTAACCAAAAAAACTCAAGAGAAATGTCTTGTTCGATCTTAACTGGTAGGTGAGCTACCAACATGAACTTGTAACATACTCAAGCAATGAATCTTTTTTAATAGAAAAATAAAGGACTTCCTTCACTAAAGGTTTGTTGTTAACAGGAATAAGACAATCAAACGGCAGGACTTGGCATGAACATGTGGGAGGAATAAAATTCTCCCAGCCTCCTTGGGAATATATAATAATAATCCTTGTATTTGATATAGTGCCTTAACTTGTTGTCAAATCATCTCAAAATGCCTCACAGGACTTACTGTCAAGTATAGTGACTGTGTATTTTAGGTGAACACTGTAACAATAACCATCAAAATCAAGCCTGAAACTGAATTTTTTTTTTTAATTTTTGGAGCGTATTAATATACATGAGCAAACTCAGGAGAGATTGCAGGTGTGTATTCTTGCATTAGAAATAAATTTAAATTGATTAGAGCAGAAATATTAGGTAATATTGAGTGATAAGCTTATTCATAGTTGTCAGCACCACACTGCATTAGTTTTCCAGCTCATTTCCAGACTAATGATAATAAAATAAAGTAAAAAGAGAATAGAAGCCATGGATACATTTATAATAATGTTAATGACACTTTGGAAACCAACTTCTTCAAAGAAATTTGGGAGCCATTAGTTCATCATTAATGACAAGAAGGTGTGCATTAACTGATGATTAAAACACACCCATGCATAACGTAGACTGAATACTTCAGTGCTTAATAACAATGTATGTTAATTAACAATTAATATACAAGGAGCTCAAGAGTGTTCAACTTTTGTTTATGCAGAAAATTACTTTGCTGATTAACGGCTGATCTGTAATCTAACATCCTATTGAATAGGGACAGCAGCATTACTTAATCCTTTTGAGATATATTTTCTCCCACTCTTCTGAGCGCCCTGTCCTCTCTTTGCAACACAAAAGGACTGATAGACAGTCTATTCACAGCCACTGGTGGGCATGCTTATAAATGACCTGGATACATCCTCAACGCATCCCCTTAATAATCTGGTTGATGTGAAAAACTCATCATATGGGGAAATCAAGGATTTTTTTCATATCAAAAGAACACAAAAGGCATTTGGATTTGGAGGTACTTCTTCCCATTTGAGATCAACCTTCTAGAATCCCAGCCTTAATGTCTTTCTGATAACTGATATGAACTGTGAACTATCCTCTGTGTAAAGGAATACTTCTCAGTCTCTGTCCTAAAATATCATTCCCAACCTTAAACCTGTGCCCTCTTATCCTTGGCTTATTTGGGTTTTATTTTTTTTCTATTTGGCACCTGATATACCCTCTCAATGACATTGCTTTTCAAATTTGAAGATCCCTAGCTCATCTAGTCTTTCCTCATCACTCTCGTTGACACTGAGAATCAGTTTGGCTGTCCTCCTGTGTCCTGTCACCCGGATGCAAGCAGTCCCTATACATCGCATCCTCCTTTTCAAACTGATGGCCTGCTGTAAAAAGTTGCCCTTGATGGGAGCAACTGGCCCAAGAAGTTAAGCACAGCAAAGATATAGAGGGAAAAAGAGGGACATAGAGCTGAGATCCATTTCCCAGGATTGAGAGCAAAGAAAGGCAATGCCCAGCACTCTGTAAACCTTAGCAACATCAGTTTGTGAAACACAGGAGTGTGTGTGTGTGCCCAAACCATGGAAGCATGTGCGTGGGGTGGAGGTTGCAAGTCCAAACAATTTCCATCCACTGTTTTCTAGAAAAGAAATATTTAGTCATGATTGACATATTTAGTCATTCAAAACCATTGTATCTATAGTCAGTCTCCATGTTTCCTATTTACGTAGCTAATAGTCAGCCTGAATGCTCCCTACGTTCAAAGCGGCTTGTCAGACCTGTGCTAATCCATTCCTATCTTAAACATAAACTGATCAAGCTGCTATTTCTCAGCAATGATTAGGTTCGCGAAGCAAACCGACTTCATTCCCTTCTGAAATATTTAGCGGTATAATTATTGTAGCGTAAACAAATATCACCGAGTCTGAGTAGCATTTTGTGCAGAACACAAAGTAATCAATCCTTAATGGATATTACACACTTCAAAACCCATGGAAAACAAACCAATCTACTGTTTCATTGTGTACAAACTCTACTCCCCCCAAAATACTCAGCATTCGTAGCAAATCCTATGATGAACCATGTTATAACCAATGCAATTTTCCCTGCTCGAGAATGACAAGGTGATGTATTACAACGCAAACAGACTTCAGCAGTGAGGGACGGGAAGTGGGTATGCAAATGCAGACAAGCCTTCAGCAGAGATTGCATTGGCACTGTAATTGAAGTATTTACATATACATCTAACAAACTGAAGAGCTTTGAGAGATAGGCTGATGTAAAGAACTGAACTCAAATTTATCCTGAAATGGCAGCCATCCTATCGGTTAATGGGCAGGCAAAGAAAAGGTTGCGGAATAGCATTTCATAGACATTACAAGGAATTAGACAACTGTCAATCTTTGTATTGGGGAGATATTTTAAACAAATTTTCTCAGTTGAAAACAGGAGATGGCACATGCAAATCCCCAAACTCACAATAAGCAGTAAGTAGTTTTGAGAACTTTTTCTTTTTATGTCAATCAAATCTAAAACTGCTGAAGGTTCAGGAGACAGGCATTGGTGAAGGCACGGATTTCTTTATCCTGAGCCAGTTAAGGAGATTTTGAGTTATTTGCCAGTCTGAAAAAAATAACCTTGGATATATTTTCACATAAAATATAAAATAATAAAATAGATGTGAAAATGTTTAGCTACTAGAAGCACTGTACAATGCTAGGGATTGAGTCAGCAGTTGTGCTTCAGTTAGTAATTTTCACCCACAAAATATACAGTCAATTCACTTTACAGTATATTCTGTAAAGTGCTTTGAGACGTCTCGAAGACGTGGTAAGGCACTGCATCAAATGCAAGGATTATTATTATTATAATTTATTTGAATAGAGACTTTTAATTAGGCTAAAAATTACACTGGGAAAGAATGCAACAAGATAGGAAAGGTCTCCATTTCTTCAGCTATGGATTTTACTCCAATTCAGAAGGTTTTCACTGTACACTTAAATGCACTTGACATAGTGGAACAATTGCACTGCATTGCTATCCTTGCACAATTTTTCAATGATATTCATGGAAGACTGGAGCATGCATGATACGTATGGTTAAGCAAGAGATTAATACGCCTTTTCAGTTGGAGGAGAGAAAGGAAAAAGCAATACTTACTGTAAAGCGTTTTGTGGCATCCACCTCAATCATTCCCTTTAAGAGATTTTGGCAGTCCGGCGGTATAAAGTGTGGCATGTGAAACACTCCACGCTTTACCTTTTCCAACAACTGTCTCAGATTATCATCATCAAATGGCAACGCTCCCTGCAAAACCAAGAGTGTTCAGTGTTAGCCGTGTTGTTTATCATGTCAACCGAGTAAGAACCATGGTAATAAATACATCAAAAATGCCTTCGCCACGACACCTTTAGAGCAGATAATCTTTAAACAAAGGAGCCAACAAGGTTTGCAAGCTTATGTTCTAAACTTTTTTGTAGAGGAGAGAGAGAGATATTCCAAGATCACAGTAAGATGCTGGCTAACGCTTGTTCAGCAGAAATGGCGCCGACACTCTGTCCTTTCCCATATCATCTTTGTCTCGGAGGAGATGTCTGGATGAAGCTTTGGACACAAGTCAAAACATGTTGAAATGAAACAAATGTACTGTACATTTTATGGACTCTTATTGCATAATCACAGCAAGAATCTAGAGAAAGTCTTGTTAAAGAAAATAAACCAACCTATTGCTGGCATGTGATGATTATCATCGTCTATTTATTAATTGTCAGACATGTTAAACTGCTGCTAGTGGTTAACAATAAAAAACTGATGTTGGGATCCATCAACTGCATTCTAGAAATAGCAATTTTTTGCTATTTACGGTATTTATAATGGGGCTTATAAAAAGATAATGAAATGATAGCATGTCCTGTGGGCTTACTCGGGAAATAAATAGCTCTTTACTTGTAGTCAGTTCAAGCCCCAAATGACAACCTACATAAAGAAAGAAAGTGAATGGTCCTTTTCCCCCCATTCTTTACTTGCTATCTCTACCAAGAATCCCTATTAAAAATCCTCTGAATAAACCAGATCAATGAATCTCATTTTCCCGAGATTATTCTCATTATTTTCTTTAAATTGCAGAATGTTCAGGGCAGATAATTGCTTCAAAGTGGACTTAAAAGTGCAAGACTCCGATATATTTTGTGTGTCTGAATCCAGTCTACCATGGTTGAATTTTGTTGTGGATATTGGAGTTTTACAATTAAAACCACCCTCCTCATAAATAATTTCTTCACAGGAGCAGATTGTATGCAGTATTGCACGACGACGTATAAAATAGAAATATAATTCCTTTAAAGGTTTCAAGGACAATGAGAATCAAACACAATCGCTTTTAATTTGTTTGAAATGTTACAAACAAGAACAAGCTGTAACAGCGGATACATGTACAGCAGTAAGCAATACATGGGTTCCAATAAATACTGTTGCAACGCAATGCAACCTTGAAAATGTTTTTGTTTTCTAAGATCTGCGGACTTGGCTCTGCCGAAAGCTCTGGGCAAGATATCAGCTTCAAAAAACTGTAGGAGCAGGAGAATACCATCAGGGAAGAGGAAATCCCCCAATTAATCAGATCAAAAGGAAAATAAATATATACGGGCGCTTGCAAATCACATACTGTGCCAAGTCCGCTTTGAAGCAATATCTGCCCTGAACATTCAGCAATTTAAAGAAAATAATGAAAATAATCTCTAGAAAATGAAATTCATTGATCCGGTTTATACCCAGCATTTTGTAACAGAGATTCTGATCAGTTTCTCAAAATGAGGGTGGCTCCTCGGGGAGGAAATAATTCAAAAACCTTCCTGCATTACTTTTTAGGTAACTACTTGGTTTCTGACAAAGTAGCAGCAAACCACATCTACTCAATGCAGAACACAACAGAATTTATCCCCAGGCCATGATTAATACCAGCTATAAATAAAAGCTTTTTGATCAAAGGACAACCCTGTGTAATTAATGTCAGAACCAAAGAAGCAGAGATCATGGCCCACATTAAATAATGATGAAAGAAAAACGGCTATTTTAAAATGTCAAATCATATGCTCTTTCTATGTGTTATAGGTTTTAATGTGATTACTTTCACCATAGATCCAATTACAGATGGGAAAGGCAGCAACATTATTCTATAACTCAGCTCGAACAATAATGAGAGTGTGACAATGATTGACGTGCACACATTTGGCTTCTTTTGTTTGCAAAAATGCAAACTCACACTATGAAACCGGACCTGGCTTGAGGTATTCCGAAATAGGGCAGTTCAGAGGTTTGGTTTAATTATGTATTAGAAAATATACCTTGCAAGAGGTCAAAAAGGGATTAATACATTCCCAAATACCCTACTTCTCAACAGCATACATTTATTTGCTCATAATGGGTCAAACCTACTGGTAAGTTGGCCTTGAATTCATCTAATTGGTAATCATTTCTAATGGAAAATATACTTCGAAGTACACGGGACTCTTTCGTGAACCACAATATGTTTTGCTTCAATTGGAAGTGTACTGGGAGTGGCAGGTCATGTTTTTCCCTGGAAAGTTTCATTTATACTTTACCATTTGTGAGTTCAGACTGGGTACTGGGTAAATAAAGCTAGTTATACCACAAGCGTTGAGACAAATAACCGTCAAATGAGTGAAAAAACTGTGCAGGATCATCTGATGTCCACGTACATGTAGTTAAGGCCAACTGTAACACCACAGACATAATTCTAGACCAGTGATGGAATCGACAACTTTAGCTGTATGCATGGCTCAGGTCCACACTAGAGCAAAGGCTTTCTCATTGGGAGAGCTTCAAAAGAACAATATTGTTGAAGATATTCACAGGTTGCTGATCATAAGTTACTGGAAGCCAGAAGGATCCATCGACATTTCTATACATGTAGCACGTTTGATAAAGATACGAGCAACATTGATGTCAAATAAAACCCTCTGGGTGCTCAAGTTGCCGCTGTCTGACAGCACAGCAGCAACTCTTCACAATACAGTAAATTCTACAAATGTACTGCATAAAATTATCATTAATTCTATGAGGGGCAAAGTAAAATAGATTCAAATTGCCATTAAGCCAAAAATACAAAATACTAATCCTCTCATAATAGGTCTCTGAGCATCAAAAGCTCATTCAATATTTACTAGACTGAAAGGAAAATTTAAACGACTTACCACCAACAGTGCAAAAAGGATGACACCACAGCTCCAGACATCTGCTTTCCGACCATCATATTTTTCTCCCTAAATGAACACATTTTTCAATTAGGAAACTCTGCACAGAGCTATGCGGTGATTAAAGTAAAATGGTATTGCATTATCATCCTCACGCTGGCATCCTTCGCCTACAACCATCAGCTCTTCAATGACAAACTACTGGAGAACCTAGTTCCAGGGTCACTAAAGTCACTAAAGAAAAAGTTTTCTTTTATTGAAGTTTATTAACTTTATTAAGTTTATTAAGTGAAGTGCAAATACTTCAAACAACTTTTTGATAGTTAATTAGGCGTACAATAAAGTTGACTGGAGACACTGATTAAATTGAAGTACTTTGTACCTTTTATCTTTTTTAAGTTCAGAAACACTCAAGGTTTTTTCCTGCAATCCAGCAATAGAGAACCAGAGTGCGAATGTAGTACTTAAGCCTTGGGGAGAATACTGCTGGAGCATTGAACCTCCAGTCATGGACTTCAATGCCTCTCATCTGAAAGCATGCTCTGGGATCCCTTGGCTATATGATTTGAAGGGATTCCATGGTCTTTGTTAAAAAGTGTCTTTAAATGTCTGTTTCAACAGGTAGATAGGACTCTCATCTTAATTGTCTGATTCAATGGCTGGCATCTCCAACAGGGCAATGGAGCACCGGGCATTACAATACAAAATTGCATTTGTATAGTTCATGTTGGGAGGACGTCGCAAGGCAATTGCCAGTCAGGGATTTGGACTCAGGTTATGAACTCAGCTTCTGTAGTGGGGCTTGGACCCATACCCTACAGACCTCGAGGCCAGACAAGACTGCCACATCAAACTACTGCATTTCCGACTGAATTAGATTATCTGTGTGATTGAAACTTAACTTAAAGGTCAGGGAAAAGGTTTTCACGTTCCCAGTGAAATGCGGTTCTTTGATATTAGATATTTCTGTTGGACTTTTTTTTCATATATCTTTATTAGAATTTTATGGCCTCATTAGTGGTATTCACTATTAGCATAAAATTACCAACCTGTGGTTTTATGAAGTAATTATTAATGAAAGTAAGACATTTTACTTTTTTAATTTTGCCCAAAGTGCTGATGGTATGGCTGATGAGTGGATACGTTACTTGAACCAAAGTCAAGCCTCATTATAGCAGGCTTGAATTATTACAAATCTCCCACTGTGACAAACCTTTCCCTTGGTCCCTGGCAAAGCTTTGCTGAATAACATCAAGTCCACCCCTCCCCAATAAGAAACATGTTGCTGTAACTAACGCGTACTTAGTACAGCAGATTAACCACTCCCTTGAACTTCTTATAATGAATTTTAGCTCCTTGTAGAACAGCACAATTATGTCAAACTATATTGGGGACCCATCGGACTTGGTACTTATCCAACAAGCAGATTGATTGAATAATACACAATACTTGGGTTGCTTCATTGGATAATTCCTGAACAAGTCCCTGAGCCTTGTCACAGTTATATCATCAGCAGAAATTACTGCTAGCAAACTGAAGGTGATAAAAAATAAAGGCCATGTGGTACTTACAGTGAATCTGTAGCATAGCAGAACATAGCACAAACCGGCACATATAAGATAACAAAAAACGAACCTCATAAAACCGTCATGTGTTTCAGATCACAAATTTTAAAAGTCCCATTTTATATTTATGCACCTTGATCCAATAAGAGATGAAATGACTCCAATCCCTTCCTGTTTTACATCATAATTTCATCACACTTCTTTGAACTAATCTTCCACCTCTGCAATCATGGTGAGTCATGTGCATGGTAATTGGGAAATGGATTGAAGTTCAAATGTGGAGTGAAATTCCAGCAGTTATGTAGCATTTTAGAGCATCCAGAATCCGGCAAATTGACGAATTCTTAACTTTTAAATTGGGTTTCTGGACTTTCTTGCAAAGAATTTAAAGAGAGCCGGACTCAAAATTAATGTTGTATTTAAGAATTTGCCAAATTTGTGGGGGGAATGATCTACAATGCTACATAAATAGACTAAATCTAAACTGGAGTGGAATTTCTCCCCATAGACCTTTCCACAATGCTGCATTGCAAACTTAATAGGAATCGGGTAACTTTATTTTACTTTGTGAAACTACCTCTCATTCAGCAGACAATAGGAGCAAATGGGATAAATGGGTTGCTGGAGGATTCAGTTACAACTCAACATGGCTGTTACTCTTTCAAATGGTCTGACCAGATGGACAAGCCCTTCAGCCACAATCTTGTGGGGCTATGTCAAGCTGCCACCAGTCTCAAATTCCAATGTCAGAGTAAACTGGATTTCTTTTTATGCAGCATGACTGAAACATCACCATTTATCCATTAGTAATAGTCTGGCATTTTGCCCATTTCTTTGGGAGAGAGAAAAAAACAATTGGAACAAATTGTGAGACGTTCACAAAGTGAAATCACGCAAGTAGAACAAAGCGTTCTCAGATCAAAGTTGCATTGTCCCTACATTTCTTTGATACGTTCAAGGTGACATTATAAATAATGGAACTGTAAAAGATAATTTGATCTAGGTTTATAATGTATTTATACCTCGTTTCTCCTTTAAGGGTTCCTGCTCATGTTTCCTCTTACAATTGAGGTTACTTAAGTCATGGATTCAGTCCAGGAAAGCTATATAAATACAATATTAATCCTTTCTCCACCGCTGTCACAACTGCTGCTCCAAGTGCACTGACCACTACCAATCACTTAACCACATGTCTCATGTTCAGCACTTTACCCCAATCATCTGACAATCAGTACTGCTGAAGACAGTGCAGCAGCACAAAGACTATGGCAATCACGCTCAAATTCTTTTTACAGAATTAGTTTTCTTTCTGCCAGCTCAGATGATGTTTTCGGATAAGATTGTTTATTGATTTTTAAAAAAAAAATCTCGATACATATTTAGGGAGGAAAGTCAGATTTTTGTGGACTTGGATAAGAGTGATGGAAGTGTTGCTGTTTAGCCCTTAGTCGCAGAGGAACAGAAGACCTTTTGGAGAGCTTCTCAGAGCTAGAGAAGGCTGAAGTATGAAATACAATAAGAACAGGTGCAGGAGAAGCAGTGGAGAGAAAAGAGTGAGAAAACAGCCTCGGAAGAACAGGAGCCAAGATTTCTGGTTTGTAAAGTCTCTCATCTGTAACTATCATCTTTTTTATTTAACCAGCACCGCATGTCGCAACGGCCATTTCATCCTTACACCCCGTTATAACACAATGTTGCTTGATGGACCCACAGCAGTGCATTATAAAGAGGGTTCTTCTGTACAAAATCTATTTGTGGTATGTGATTGTAATAATTGTAATAAATCTTCACTTTTCACCTTTTGTGCTTTCGTCTATTTTGATCGTTTGAAAACATAACTCATTTCTTTCAGTTCATTACACCAAATGATATTTACATGGCAACCTAGGAAAACATTTAACTTCTCGATATTTGGTTGACTGGACAACCGGCATTGGTGGGATGTTTTTACAGTTAAATTAAGAAACAGTTATTAAATTCTTCCTGGGAAGACGCTTACCCTGATGACTTCAGGACAGGCATAATGGGGTGAGCTGAATAAAAAAAGAAAGTTGATATAGTTAGTGTGTTGTTCTGCAGAATCACAAGCTGTTTATTTACACAAGTTGTTATGTCCTCGCCATGGTCAAGCAATACAGCTTGTTTTAAAAAATGGATTGACAATTAGCTCGAAGATTAGTGCATAGAGAAATGATAGAGAAAACAATGCTAACAATATAATACAAACTATGCACTGGTTACTAATGTGGCAGTTACAGAGGAAATCTTGTGGGGATTTTTTTGCGTTACAGCCACAGAAGAAATTGAGTGCAATTCACTCAATTCGGACTGGTTCTGCGCTTTGAATTGGTAGATCATGTCAAGCTATTGGTGATGTGCATCGGCACTGGTAGAACTGCACTGAACAAGATATTGGTTATAACATTCCACCCACGCTCCACATGGTACGCAAAAGAGAACCCATTGGGCAATTCAATGGCAACAGCAACCTTAACTGCGACAGTAAAAAAAGGCTGTTGACGCTTTTATAAGCAAACTGCAAACAATAGGGATTTAGTGTGATTAGGACAGCATGTAATTGTAACTAAAAACTGTTTTGATTCCAACAATTCATTCTCAAATAGAATGTCCGCTTAACTGTACATTATTATTGTTATTATTATTGAATCAGAAAGTACAATTTAACTCCCCCATAAACTTGATGCATGTTGTTACTAGTATTTTGTGTCACTCATGCTGCGTTTATATTGCACATTTGGCAGGGAATCGCCATGAATTTGGCAAGGATTTGCATTTTGAACTCAGTGGGAATGGCATTGCGCTCACTCCCCGTATTGTCTGCTCAAAGCTCTTCGCTGTCCAGAATGGACGGATGGGACAGCAATTAAATGAACAGACCATTTAAAAAATATTATTAAAGAGGTCACAATCGGTTTATAGCCTCTTTTAACTGCTCCTCCGTCACGATAGCAACTTTTCACTCAAGGTTTACATGTCCATCAACCTGGTATACGGTGCAAAATCCCATTTTACCAAAGCTCTGCAGCACCAGTCCACCATGCCCTCTTGTTTGATCTGATTGATAAGCTAACCTGGTGCCGTTCACAGTGAAAAACTAGACTTTAACAGACATTTTCTCCACATGTACACTGCACTTTAGCCTCCAGCCTCCAGTCCGCAATAATTGATTCCTTGATTTTAATGAGTGATGAGAAAGTGCATTTTTCCACCCAATATTCAGTTATGGTGATTAATAGCTTCATCCCTGCAGCAATTAGTGAAGCTACCTCCACCCAGAACTCGAACTGGTGGTAAAAGGATGGTCAAATATCAAAATATTCAAAGCAATTTATCATTCATTTAAATGTTGCAGATAAGCTTGCATTTTTTTTAAAAGCATCTCAAAATTGCTAAGTGACAGGGTTTTCCCCTTACTACACAAACCATCAAATCTTCAGATTTGAGCATTTTTTTCCCCGTTCCAAATGCATGATTCTGAATGCAGGCAAGGTGGTGGTTGGGAGAGGGAGAGGGGTGGAAGAGAGTGAAAGGGTAGAAGTCATGAGGGTGTAGGCAAAATATTAGTTTTTTATCCCATCTCCCAGCAGCTTCAGCAAAAGAGCTGAATCTAAAATCGAGGCTCTTCTTCCTCATCCCCCCTCTGTCCTGCGGGAAGTCCACACTAATGGTGTCATCTCGTCTCACTCATGGTTGCTAATATCTCTTCATCACCAACGAGAGGAGGGTCAGTTTGTGAGACTTTTATTATTAGCTCAGAGCCTTACATTTGAGCTCTGTTGGTGACTTTTCACTGAACTCTTTCCAGTCTGTCAATGTTCTTTTAAATGCAGAATGCCCCAGATTGCACACAGTATTTCCATGATCTTACCAAGCATCTTATTATAATAGAAACATCTCCTTGGAACTCTTCGCAAGTTTGCTGATAAATATCAGTGAACAAAGTCCAGTTCTACACCTCTATCATTGTACACAAGCTAAACATCCCCACCCCAACCCCCCCGTTTTGCAAGCTTGAACACAAGGATAGCCTGGTCCCTTTGGAGTGTTCCCGGAATCTGAGGAAGATGTTGGACATGGGCTCATACTTCACCTTTCTTCTCCCTCCCTCCTCCCCAAGTGCATCAGATAAAAAGGCGGCCGGAGGTGGGGGGGGTGGGGAGAAAGAAGAGAAAAGTTAGATCCAAAGCAATGTGGGGGGAAAAAATCTTGCTGCTTGAACAAGTGCCTGCAAACCTCCAGGTGCTCCTCACACCATGTTGCCACTCATTAATGTCTCGCCCCGCATGGCAGTGGTAAAAAGGTAAAAGAACACAGCAGCCTACTGCTGTGCCGACTCTGTTGAACATTTGTCATTGCTGGCCTAGAGTTTCAGACACCACTGAGATCACAAACATTGCAGAACTATCAGGTGCTAATAAACCATAAAGTCAGATAATGTCTGACTGCAGTGCTGTGCCTTTTCTAGTCTCCATGCACAGCAGGCACTCCTAATGGACATATTTCTACAATTTTATGTCACGGCTCATTTTAGAATCATTTTTCCCAAGCACTGCGGAGAAGAGGTTCTCAATTTACCCAAATTGTCAACAGGAGAGAGAAAGAAGTAGCGAAAGTTAAACACCCTTTAGTAGTCTAACCAGACTTACTGCACGGCCGGAGGGAGCAAATCACTCTGACCTTTATTGCTCAAGAGAAATATATATAAACTGAAATACTGTGTACACACGCACATTGCTCAAAATCTCAGCTGTGCTGATATCATGGACACAATGAAGATAACGGCCTTCTTTCCTCTGTGAACACTTCAATAAAAAGCTATAGTAACATGTACTATATGTTAGCCCACTGTTTGTTGACCTCGTTAAGATTCTGGTTCGACCCCAGTGCAGTCTCTACCCTCGGCTGGTTTACGATGATTCAAATTGAGAAACGAAAGAAGTGAGCAAGAATCCACAGGACAAAAGTGGTCATAATCTGGCAGTAATTGTCCCTGATGTGAAGTGTTGTTGCAGGTTGTCTCATCGTCATACTGGTGGGAGGAGCAATGCTTTGCTAATCCTTGACTGAGGGACATTGGGGGAGTTGGGGGAAGCTCTCCGAGATGCTACCTACGTGAAGGGCACTGTGTAAATGCAAGTTGTTGTTGTTATTGTAGACAAGGGTTTATCACTCCGGTAGCTTGTGGTATACGTGAACCTGAACCTTGATGTTCAAATGGTCAATTCATGTTCATTGTTCATTTCCCAAGACGTGTCTCTCACCTCGATAGTCACAGAATTAAAACAAAATCTTTTGAAATAACAAACGTAAAAAGCTCTAGCATGTCTGGCGTCCCAGTTTAAATGAGAGACTTAACTAGTATCACATATTTACAATCAGTGTTGCTCACCATGTCTTGTGAAGTAACCTCCCTCAGTGTACATATTAAACCATCTCTATTCATTTCAGTGGGTTTGCAATCTACGTCACTGCTTTGCTGAAAGAGCTCCTGTCTATGATCTGATTGCACCTACAGACAATTGGATTGATCATACATCCATTGCTAACAATAGAAATCTCCCATTGTAAAGACGGAATGAAAGGAGTGCTAATTTTAGCGATCGGTGTACAATTTCCCCAGTGTTCAATGACTTGTGTACGTTGCCTGAAAGGATCAAGCTAATCCTCGCTGACTGAAGATTCACAGCTTGTTCAGATACTGACACTTCCCAATATCTAAGGCTCATTAACCAATCTGGAATTCATGCCTGCTCTAATCTACAAGCACCTGACCACCTGCTCTTGGGGAAGTGTGAAAATGATTTGTTTATTTAATGCCTTGGATGAAGATTTTATGGTTTAAGTATGTTAAACGGTGTACATTAGTCAGTTAAAGCTTCCCTCGGCTGATTCTTTCTGCACATGCTATACATCAGTGGGGAATAACACAAGAACAGTTAAACCTACAGCCCTGTCAGGTGTTCCTATTTTCAAGCAGCGTTTAATCTTAACTTTCAGGTGTTCTTAAGAAGCAGACACCATGACTGAGGTGCCTAAAAAAGAAACGATGTTTAGCTCCACACTCAATTTGCACATAAAGTGATTGGGCATCAAAGCAAAGAGTGTTAAATGAAATGATCTACATTAGCTGGGACAGACACCGCATGCAATGAGTTGTCACAAAATCCACCAGTCAGAGGGGATTTGCTGTGCAGGGAGCTGGAGGGGAAATGCTGTGGGAAAAAATTAAAGATCAACAAACCCCGAGTGTTGCCAAGCACAAGCAGGACCAACACTGACATCAAAAGGAACTTCCTTAGGAACATGAACAGAGACATTGTGAGGCTTGAGCACCTCCTCATCTTTCACAGGCACAAACTGACTTTTACTCCTAAGTTACCCTGGAGGCAAACAACAATTCAAAGTCGCTGTTCTCCACCATCCATCACCTCCTCCGTGCACCCCCTCAAACCCCCTCGATCCTCACGTCAAACCACCCAGTGCCTCAGCTCGACTGGCACCAGCCTCCTGCATGTCCATCGCACCCTCCGCCCCACCATTGGAGGTCGTGCTTTCAGCCACTATGCCCCAAAACTCTGAAACACTTCCTCAATCCCTCCTCCTTGCCTCCTCTCTCCCCTTTTGACTGAAGACTTACCTGTTCGACCATGCTTACGGCCACCTCCCCATTTCCCCGGCTCGGAGTCAGGCTCCGCCACTGTTAAGTGCTCTGAGATGCTCACCCTATGTGGAGGGCGCTATATAAGTGCAAGTTGTTGTTGTCGACTGCAGTTTGTATTAACTGGGGTTTTTGAAGGGTACCACTGTAGCTCTGGCTACTCAGTGAGGCGGATTAAGACATATTCTACTGTGAAAAATTATTTCACAGAACGTTGTCATTGAAAGCTAATAGCCTCATACATTTTACTGAGTCGCCATTTGTTGCTGTCAGTGTTATAAAGAGTCACTTGTCTGACGCAGCATGTGTGAATTATCACCTCCACCATTTTATGAATTAAAATCAAGATTACACTGCTTAATATTTAATTGCTGCTAAAATACCAGGTACTTGCAAAATCTAAATGAAGATTAATGCGTGTTCAGAGAAGAAAATCCTTTTCAGAGGGTTGACGGTCTTCCAGTAAATCACAATATGTTCCCCCTAACCCCAGCCCATATTAAAACACATCCCAAATAAATATTCAATCCAGTTTAAACATTTGCTTGGTCATTGATGACAGTCGTTTGTATGAAGACACAATGAATAATGTATTCGATATGAACAAATTATACTTCCAACAGAAGCAATTATTAAAACCCATTTTGAGTCTCTTATTAAAACTGTGGAGGGAGAACTTACCCGCAGCTGGTTTCTAACAAGCTGTCACCGACTTGCAGGGAGGCCATCCCGAAGTCTGCTATCCTGATGTTATTCTTTTCGTCCAACAATAAATTTTCTGGTTTCAAGTCCCTGTGACTGTGGGGAGGGGAGAGGGGAAAGACAGGGTGAAAATGACAGCGATTCTGCACCGTAACCTACATTCAATGAGAGCGGTAAAAGATAACCAAGGTGCACTTGATTTATCTTCCACTCTGTTATTCAAAGCACGTGATGTTCAATTTTAACACTTTGCCTTTGGTCGGCTGAACCCTCTCCGCCCTCAGCATCAGATGGGGAAAGAACAAAAAAAACACACAAGATAGCAACACGACCAGGTGGTTTTACCGTTAACTCGGACAAAAAAAAATTAATGAAGAAAAGGAATTTATTGCAATATTCAGCATTGCATATTTAGAGACAAGGTAGGTAGGTTTATAAGCTCAAAGACTGCAAAGGAAAGACCTCAATTAGCAAAAAGCATCTGTTACTGTAACAAGTGTTGGGCAGTGTAAAGCTATTTCCAGTTTAATTTTTTCCCCCTGTTATATGAAGTTCCCGAAGATTTCTCAGCCTCTCATCTTCTTGATATAAAGAGCAGCTGGGACTGTGGTGTTGCCATCTCTCCCCCATGGTGTCATTATGAGAGAGTACTTCAGAGAGTGGCCAGAGAGATGCAGTACGCATCAGGAATCTGGCACTGACGTGCTGGAACTCCACCAGCTTAGTTATAAAGTGGGGGAATCACCCTCTTACCAGACGCCGAGTGTCAAAACCCATCTCAGTCGTGGCAGACGGATGCGGTTGTCAGGACAGCATCACTGCCATCCTGCGTCAATGAACCTTCCCAGTAAATCAGACAATAAGCCTTCAGGAATAAGTCTTGTCTTTAGGAAGTCCCCGACTGCAGTCAGCCACCTCCGCCGGAGGCAGCTAGGAGCAATCCATTTACATCCATACTGAAGCTAGGGCTACCATTAATATAATTGCAGCAATGGTGAAGGAGCACACTCTCTGTTAAGGCTGAATTACAGCAGCAGCTTTGCCATATGCTAAGATAATAGTTAATTGAAGCAGCTCCCTGTACTTTAGGAATGCATTGCAACTCTCTCCTCCTGCACTACAGCTCTGCGTGGCCTTAGCCACTTTGTCTTACAAGGGGGAGCAACTTTGAGGGGCTGTGGACCCAGACATAGAGGCAAGACAGAGCAACATGCAGACTTCTCCCAAATCAGTCAAGACAAAAGGCACTAAAAGCAACTTGGTGTAAAAGGTGGGAAGGCCAGTGCTGCCAACCCAGAAGTAACGTTATGCCAATTGGTTTTAAACACACATCCCCACTCGATTGATTCCACATGGTGTAAAATATACAAAATTTATATTTTACATCTGTATTTCCCAACAAACCTTAACGAATGTACCAGGAATTAATCAGGACAGGAGTGTTGTCTTTTGAAGAACGACACAGAAAGAAATCAAAAAAGTACACATTTATGTCTTGTAAAATTGCAACCCATTTGACAGGAAGCAGAGCAAAATGGAACTTGGATACCTGCTTCGTCACCAATTTCCATCGCTGCAGTTCAATGACAGCAACATTGCAACATCTACATGTCTCTCACACAAGTTCAAACTCAGCATTTCTTTACTGTGAAATTGATTAGTTCCACATTAACCCAGTTACTCAAATCACAGTAAGAAATGATTAATACAAATGCTTCATTTCATGCCAATCTTCCAGCTCAGACCGTGTGCATTTATGTGGTTTAAATCCTTTGGCATCAGATTGTGATTAGTTTATTAATATTCAGTGTTATTCCACTTGATGCCCCTTAAAGTCAACTTTACTTTAGTGATTTCTATCTATCAGACTCTTGGATGCTGAATATTTTGCCAGTAGCGTAACCGATAACAATCTTACAATATGCAACGAGTACACTCAGCCTTGATAAACCAGTGCACAATAAAGATCATTAACATCTAGATCAGAAGGTATCAATGCGCCATTATAAATATCATGCAACAAGGGCAAAGATTGCACTTCCAGGCAATAATAACAAAGGGTAGATTTCCCTTATTCCCAGTAAGAACCCAAATGATAGAATATATTTTTAACATATTATTTGAGTTCTTCATGACATAAAACAGATAGTGTACCAGAGAACAAGTTCAAGGCTATGCTCTAACATCAGTCTTTGCTTCTGTGGTTCATGAAATCACCTAAGCCTCCTGATTAGATCAAAGCCTTGCAATTCACTCCCTGGGCTGCCATTATCCACTGTATCCTTGGTGCAAAACAAAAGTTCAGGTTAATGTGACATGTGCATGTACTGATTGTTAATCTACTCACTCACTTCAGCTCAATCTACCGTAAGTGGAAGTAAGTTGTCATTTAAATGGAAATGCAAACTTAATGAGGCTGAATTCTTCAGAGGAAATTAATCCACGCTCCACCTTCATAACATTTGCATATTTAAATGCAGCACAGATGCACATTAGGGAATAGCAGACTACACATGGCGTGCACTCCGCTTGCTCAACGAAGAAGATTTGACAACATTAAATAAGATGGCCTGGTCTTGAAGGCTCGATTCACACAGGCCAGTGACTTCATTAATTGAAGCATCAGGGAGCCTTGGATTCTCTTTTCATACATAATAATAACAATGATAATCCTGGTACGTGATATAGGTATGTGGTATGATTTCATGTCAGGAAGATGTCTCTAAGCGCTTCAGAGTATTTACAGACTGTGAACTTTGAAGATGACCAATTTGGGCACAGCCAAATCCCACAAACAGTCATGAAGTGAATTACGACATGTATTCGTGTTACAAATCCTTCCTCTTTTTGTGCCGGATAAAACTTTTTAGCCCATTCGAGAGTTTCAGCACAGAAGGTGAACTAAGACGTTACGTGTTGTTTGCTGCTGATTCCTTTCTCCTCATTCTACTAGACTGAAATGCTACACACCTTTTGTTGCTTCTACTTTCTTTCATATGAAATTCCCAATTGTAGACCTTTGCTCGGACCCTAGGTGTAGCATTGCGGCCAGGTCACAGTCCTCAAGTTGGAGTGTGAACAACTCTTGAAATTTACTTTTCCAAACAAAAAAGCAACAGCATTCAATTTAATCAGAAAACCTTTCCATTTAATATGAATGGGATTTGCGACGATTTTTCCTGGAGCTACTTATTGCGCTCCATAGTATGATTAAAAAAAATTGAGAGGTCAGGTGAGGTCACGCCGTTTTAATATGTGGCAAAACGGATAAGGCTCCTGCCGGCAGAGATACTGTGACTCACGGCTATTTTTGCACCTCACACCAATAACAGCAGCTTCTGTTTTTGCATATGGGAAAATGTCAGAATGGTCCTCTTATATTAAAATATTAATATCAGCCTAGAGAGTGGCAGCTTGTGCTCCGAGTACAAAGTCTAATAATATCTCTCGCAGACCCTTTCCATACTCGCTGCAGTGGGTTTCGCCACTCGTGCTGTTAATGGATACAGAATTAGGAAGCTCCATTTATCACAAGAGAAATAAGAGCCTGAAGATACAGGCTGAAAGATGGGCTTTGCATCCACAATGTGTGACCACATGCCTTTCAGACTCGGTGCTTTATCACAGCTGGCTGCTAATTCACCCCAAATCGCACAAATACCCGTTCACACTTTACTCGATTCTACGGAGCGTGAAGATGTAGGTCACAAGGAAGGTGAAACTAGAGAGAGAGAGAGAGAGAGAGAAAATCACAGACGAGAGAAACCGGATAGAATGTGCAGGGCGGGCGCTGGAAACAAAAATAAGAATCCCTCGAAAGAACAGAAGCAGTGAGATTGCTTGCCTGCACATCTTTAGAATCCGTCTCACCGGCAGCAGAATCAGGGAGGAGAGCAACAGGCAATGAATGCACAAGTGTACCAGGCATCCATAGTAACCATACCCTGTGCCCAAATCATGGGTTTAAATCTTGGGCACACCCCTCTCCCCCACTCCCACGTCTACGGGGGGGTCTGTGTGACTCAATTTAGAATCAAAGAATGTTTACAGCACAGAAGGAGCCACTTCCTCTCCTTGAAGAAATGATTCATGCTGTCACAGTGTTGCGCATCACAGACATGGCAACTCTGAAATAGCATCTTCAAGGGGGAGCCTGGATGGACAGTGAGCTGGTGTGGGCAGTCCACTCAACCATGAGAATTACACAACCAACCCCCAGCTGAGATCAGGTGAGTCAACAGGGATCCAAGCCAAGTGCTTGTATCTGTAAGACTCAAATTGTAGAATGTATTGTACGTAGGAGGCCGTTCACCCGAGGCTATGGTTTGTCAACTGAGCCATCAGAGGAGTCCCAGGAAACACCATATTAAAAGGGTCAGGACTGATTATAGGAGAAATGACATAAAATTAAGGTGCCCACTAGCCCAACAGCACACACATTCACTAGATGCAGAGCTCAGGAGAAGCAGAGCTCAAACATATTGAACACAAAATACAGCGGACGCATTTTCTGGTTACAGAAATCCAACTTTAATGTTGAGCTTGAATTCTCAACAATTTACCAAATTTTGGACTCTCGAATATACTACATATATAAACAGTATAAATCTGGATCCAGGTGAGATTTCTTCCCATATACTTCCAGGACCAATTATGCAACAGACAAAAGATGTCCCTCACATCATCCTGCGTGCTATTGTTGCGTCCTCTCCAGTAAGTTTGTATAATCTATAACCATCTACGAAGGATTTCAAATTTGATTTAATTTTACAATTACAGTTTTTACAGTTATTTTCAATTTGACATTGTGTTAGTTTTGTTTAATATGATTAATTATTAATAATATAATTATTATTTAATAACCCCAACAGAAAACATTTCTCTGCAAATGCACCGAACAGAATGGAGCTGAGTTCCACATCAACAAATTCACTATAGGGAGTATACAGAGCAGAAAATTATCTTTCTTCCCTCCTCCAGACTCTAATGGGCCAAAATAAGGCTTCCAGGAGTGTTACTTTCTTGGTATCTTGCAGATTGCTGCTTGTTTTTAATCTGCATGATACACTCACCATTTTCTGTCTTGTCAACCCCCA